ATTTATATATGCATATATATATATATATATATATTTATAAATAAATATGACAATTAAGTAAACACGTTTTCTGGGTGAATCTTCAAGCTCCCATGCCAACTTCCGCAGATTGTCAACCAATTTTGGAATTCTAAAACCTCAAAAGTCATGAGGTTTAGCCGGATGTCAAATTAAATACTGGGAGGCCGAAGTGCAAGCCACGGATTCGAACCCAAGATTTTCGGAGGATTGCATGCACTTGACGAAGGCTTGGTAAGGAAGGGAATCAAGGAGATTGATGACAATCCATAGTATTCCAAAACAAGAGAGAATTAAGTAATCAAAGGATCTCCATCAATGTGATCCCACAGATTTAGGGGGCTTCAAAAGGAAGGAATTTCAAATGAGCTAACCTCGGGCCATTTAACGGCCAACCCATGGGTTGGCAGATGCCCCTATATAAACCTCGTCAAACGAAGGGAGAAGACACACATCAGTCACACAAACCTATTTTTCGTCTCGCACTTTTCTTTTCCTAAACTTAGGATTTTACTTTTTCAAGCACTTAATGTAGCAAGTTCTTCCTTTTCCTAGTGTAAGTTTACTTTCTTGCAATTTACATTATCTTTTCTTTTAAATTCAAGTTTATTTCATTTGCTTTACTTTTTATTGTTATCAAATTTTCATTACATTTAATTTCAAGTTTAATTTAGTTTACCGTTCTTATCGTTCTTATTTCGTTCTTGCTTTATTTTACGTTTATTTATCGCTTTGATATATTTTATCGCACTTTAATTATCATCTTTTAGTTTAACCATGTCTTTAATTTATTTGCATTGTTTTTACTAAAAAACCTAAAAATCTAAAAAATATCCATATGAAGCTTAACCATCTTCGAACCCGAGGAAGTGAAAAAACCTAGGCCAAGGGGAGGTTCCTTGCTTGGCCAGTTTCCACCTTCCCTGGTTGTCTTAAGATGTTTGCATGCACATGCGTTTAGAATACACGTGTTCGGTCAAGATTTTCCCAGCCACCTGCTTAATTTGTCTGCACACGTGGTTGGACAGTTTCCCCCTTCTTCGGTTGCCTTCTGATATTTGCATATACCTTTGTTTAGTATACATGTGTCCGGCCAGAATTTCCCCAGCCACTTGCTTGATTTGCCAACACATGTTGTTGGCGAGTTACCCCCTTCCCCGGTTTTCTTCAAATGTTTGCCTCTACGTATGTTTAGTATACATGTGTCCGACCAAGATTTTCCCAGCCACCTGCTTGATTTCTCTTCACATGTGGTTGGCCAGTTTCCCATTCCCTTGTTTCATTAAGATGTTTGCATGTACATGTGTTTAGTATATAGGTGCCCGATTTGTTTGCACAAGTGGTTGGCCAGTTTTCCCTTTCCTTGGTTACCTTCAAATGTTTGCATGTACATGTGTTTAGTATACACATGTCTTACCAGGATTTCCCCAACCACTTGCTCGATTTGTTTACACACGTGGTTGGTCTGTTTCCCCCTTCCCTAGTGACCTTCAAATGTTTGCATGTACCTGTGGTTAGTATGCATGTGTTCGACTAGGATTTCCCCAGCCACCTGCCTGATTTGTCTGCATAGGTGGTTGACAAGTTTTCTCCTTCCTCAGTTGTCTTCAAATTTTTTCGTGTACCTGTGTTTAGTATATAGGTGTCGGGCTAGGATTTCCCCACCCTCCTGCCTGAGTTGTTTGCATAGGTGGTTGGCCAGTTTCCCTCATTTCCTAGTTGCCTTAAGATGTTTGTCTGTACCTGTTTTTGGTATACAGGTGTCTGACTAGGATTTCCCCAGCCACCTGCTCGATTTGTCCACATGGGTGGTTGGCCAATTTTCCTAGCCACTTGCTCAATTTGTCTGCATAGGTGGTTGGGGAGGTATAACTTACCATCACAATAGGTGAGAGGAACGAGCAGACCGTCGCCGACCTCCTCTTCTCATCTGCCGATGACTTTCAGCACGTTCGTGTGCCACACATGATCACCTTGACTCATACTATCTGTTGGGGTCTTTTCCGTCGGAAGACTCGTCTGGGCTTGTTGATTCTCGAACCGCCATA